GCCTTGTTAGTATAAGGTCCATCTATCCGAGCTCAAACCTCTCTTCCGACAACAAATTGCGTAAAAATCTGTTTGTATTTCTTCCGCGAGGACATCGGGCCAACTGAGAAATGTTATAGATTTTGCTGCATTAAAACGAAAAATATTTACTTGCGCTTCTGAAAAGTTTATCAAGAGGATAAATGTCTATATGCAGACAGGGTCTACCGAGAACTTGACTTGGCTCCATTTTCAAGCTGATTTCTCACTGACAAATATCGCGTGTTTGTCCTTGATCCCATGGAGCGTTAAGTGCATCCTAGCGGCAGCTCCTTTCGTGTCTGGGAAAACAATGAAAAATTCATGCAAATGAAAAATAAATGCACACAAGCCAAAAAGGATAATGCAGCGAGGAGCTCCTCGGTGCCGAGGGAAGATAGAAACACATTTCATGCAATTTCGGACTCGGACTCGGGTGCTCGGCTCATGGTTTTGGTCCCGCTTCGACTCCTTTGTCTGTGCCACGAAATTTCAATAAATTATGCAAAAATTTTCGTGGTTTTCGCGCTTTACTCTTGGTTGTTTCTCGTCCCTTTTATGCAACATTTTACTTGCTGTTTTATTCAAATTTGTGTGCATTTTTCATTTGCTAGAAAAACAACATTTTACGCGGAACGAGGAAAGTGGCAGGAGAAGGAGTATCATCAACCCTTTTCGTACCGACGCAGCATCCAGCTGTTTGAATTAATCCCTTTTGTGGACGATCCTCAGCATCTTTGTCTACCGATATTGTGTGCTTACCTGAGCGGTACACACATATGCAAATAAGTTTGATTAAAAATTTAAATGAGGTCCCTGCGAGGGGACACCTTTTTCCTGAAAGGGCGAAAACATTGACAGCTGCGTTTTCAATTCTCGAATTCGTGGATCGTTATTTAATTCACCTTTTGAACTCCACATTGAATAGCACGAACAGATTGATATTAGTTGAGAGCGCATTTTCGTTAGGCCTTCATTCTCTATTCGGCCTTACAGGGAATGGGTCGATATCGCGTCTGCCATCAAATATGATGATCTCTGTGTAGTTGGATGCAGTCAAGGCCCACTCTTCGCACATATACAATTTTCAATTTTTCACTGTTACCCAGATAACTGTGATTCGACCGATCACAGCTTGGTAACTAGAATGAAATTACTACTAGAACCGAGGCACGAGCGAGCGTCCATAGCCTGCACCTGAATGCGCCATGTACTTGCTAGCCGTGCCAAGCAGCAGCCGCAATACAAATGATTATGTTTATACTATTAAAGTAATTTACTAAAAATGACGCCCTGCCAAAACAAGATAATCCGCTGTGCGCAGAGTCGCCGTCGCCTCTTCCTCTCCCTGCCAGCCAGAGCTGATCGTCAAAGTCAACCGCTTTAGCTGGGGGTTAAGTAGCTGGCTGTCTACTTAAGCATAATCGAAGTGCGGCAGGGGGATCGGTAAGGCGATCAAACGGCGATTTCGCTGGAGGATGGCTGGCTTTATCACAACATTTTGCCAAGAAGATGGATAAGTGTGGTCTAGTGCAAGCTGCTGATGGGGGCATCGTGGCAGGCGGGTTTCCCGATCGCATGATTGTTCTCCGCTTGCTAGCCGCGCTGGTAGCCGAGGTGCGAGATCTGCAAATAATGTGGCCAACTCCGCCAGAGCTGCATCTGCGCCCGATCTTTAGCAGCTGGAGGCAGCGAGGCCAAATGGGGGCCATGTGTGCTGCTGCCTCACTGGCTTTCAACCGGGCGATCGTTAGCCGGAGTCGCCTCCTCCGCGACCGGTTGGATACAGCTCTATTAACCCCTGCCGCTGATTTGGTGATAACGATCGTAATCGTAGCGGTACTCTAGGTGCAACACATGTTGCACTTTCCACGACTCCCATCCACCTGGTTGCGCGCTATATTATTTTCCTTAATTTAGAAAATGATTTCCCTCGCTAAAATTAGAATGATTCAATAGTCGCTTTTACCCTACGTCCTTGTTAAAAATACTTCAGTCCACGGACCTTGTCAGAGGCCAAATTACACCTTGAGGGGGAACATGTGTTTTGGCTCCTATATGGCTTTGATCTGTCGATCAGTCTGTCTTTTGAAAAATCTGCAGAATTTAAGTATAATATTTAGCATTGTGAGGTGAAGTTTTTACTGCCAGAAGACTTTTTCAGCATACAACACAACATAAAAGCTATGTATTTATATTGAATATCTGTATAACAAGGAACTGGTGATTGCTGCTTGGCTATTGGTTGTGTTTCATTGATCCGTGGGTGTAGCAACAAAACAAAACCATCAAATACTGAAAGAGTTTCATTTTACGTAGGTAGACCTGACAGTGACTATAATCAGACAAATAAATACAAATGTTTATTAAATCCATACTCATAAATATGCATGGGTCATGGGAATGGGTCCTCTAATTACGCCCAAAAATGGGGTTCGGCCTATTAGAATAAAATCAAACGTGACGCTATACATACATTCACAGTCCTTGAAATAAATACTCTTCGATTCCATTCTTTCGCGTAACAAAAAAAGTGAGCGACATAAATATGCATGAGAAACAAATATACGTTTGTACACATACTTTTAAAAAGAAATGGTATCCCTAGCAGAATTTAACCCCTGGAGAAAGTTGCAGCTGAAAGCTGTTTGCATAGTTGCCGTGTCTAAACAAATACGAAAGCTATTTAATGAGTCGCGCAGTATAAACGGAAAAAGGTTTACAATTAAGAGAGAGAAAAACTGTTGTCTGTCCGCCCGCCTTCATTGGATGGAATTTTCATGTATTTGACTTTGCGGTTCATTGATTAAAATCCAACTGTTTATAAGGGGTAGAAAACCTCCCCGCCTAAGGACATGGATATTTATAAACACACGTAGAGCGAAGCGATCACAGGTCTTCCTCTGTTTGTTTAATTATTTTTGTCGTGCTCCGCTGGTTTGTCATTCTTATTAGAGGAGAAATACGAGTGGATACGTCTGCCCACCTTAAATGCTATGTTGTATATTTCACAAGCTAACACAACGTTTATCAATCGCCATGTATCATTTATTCGTCCTTTTATCGTTCTGCCACAGTTGCGGCGAATGATTTTAATTTTAGATTAGTCAAATGAAAAGAATAACAATAAAGTCCTTGCCTTTTTCCCATCACACACATCATCCCATCGACAGGCATGTCAATATGGCTTAATATTTGGCTTGCATGGCTCTGGTTACTTAATTTAAAAGACACCCAACGATTATTGGTTTGAAATTGCTTAGAACACGCGAATACGTTTTTGCAGTTTTTTCTGCCTCTGCGAATGTTTTCTGTATTTGCACGGTTGAGTAAATAGGTAGGCGTTGATCCAGAAAATATGCTATTTTTATCGTTTATTGCCACAATGGGGTTAGCGATGGGTGGCCCGCATAACTTGTATTCTGCCATTGGTCTCGTTCCACAAACTTACATATTAGTCATTCACAAAGTCAAGCTGTAAGTGGTCGTCAGCTCTAGAGTGCCATATGTCCCTTCTAAACAAGGACTCCACTATATCTAAATGCAGGCCGAAATATAAATCCATTAATCTCTTGTATGCCGGCATCTCGCATGCACATTCTCATTACCCAGTCCCATGCAATGTGGTGCTACTTGTTGCGGGTTTCGCTGGTGCTGAAGCTGCTGCTGATGAGGAGGCGGTGTAAAGAACCATCCTGGGTGTTGCTGTATCAGGCCGCCTCACCTTTCACGCGGTGCGATTTGCAAAGCGTTTAGGCTGCCACGTCGCCATCGCGTATTAATATATTTAAGTCATAAATGCGCGCTTTCCTTTCAAGCCATGTTCGGTTACACATCTCTTATCCAAGCCATTTGTGCCACGGTAGTCCTCGGTAGCTCTGTCGGTACGGTGCAGAAGTGGCATCCGCGGCGATTCTCACGTGTACACGAAAATCTTTTTTGTGCGCAACAAGTTCTTAAACAAAGTTCTTAGCTGATAAATGATATTGGAAACTGTTCCTGACTCGATATGCATAGAGTTGCGGCTGCTGGCCATTAATAATTTCGGTGGAACGGCAGCTACACTGTTGGTCTGCAGAGCAGTGTGCATTGTTATATTCGCCTTTGTTTGTCGGTGCTGGGGCAAAAGTTAAGAATCTCGGAATGAAATGGCCAGCTCATGAGCCTGCCATTTATGACACACAAGTTTCGTCTGCTATCAATATCCATATATGATAGCCAGGACCATTGTATGCATCCCCAACATCCCGATCTCGATAAGCGATCTGTGGAGCTTCCCAAAAGCTTCCACAAGTTGCCACTTTCGGAGGACTGATGATGGATTATTGGTACGTGTTGCGAGGCTGGTGTCGAGGATGTAGAATAGGACGGCCAGCAGCACGAGAACACGAGACTCATTAATCCTGGTGGCAAACGGGCCGTCGGGAGTGGGACCGGGACCCGGGACCTTTGGCTGCCTTGCCACGACTCATTTGTGCTAAAAACTTGCCAGCTTGATAAATTGCCCGACACCCAAGCAGCACACAAGCTAGCAGCACACATTTCGCTCATCTTACCACTTGGCCCGGGGCAGAGTCCCGAACCGTGCAAAGTTCAGCCAGAAGCTGTGGCTTCTACTTACTGCCTTTTGCCTTCAACTTTTTCGATAGATAAACACTTAACACGTTTTTGCGAGTGATTTAAATACTTGCCCCCCTCCAGTCGGCCCTATATTTACCAGCCATTCAATCACTTTTGGAGAGCCCTTCTGCACATCCCTTTAGCGTTTTGATATGCAAATACTTTGCACAGGTTTTCTCAATTTTTCTCATTTGCGGCGTTTATTCCTTGTATTCCCTGTCTGTCTGTTTGACAGTCTGCTACCGTCACGTTATGTCAAATTTATTGTTTGGTTTGTTTTGTGCGATTGTCACGTTTTTGTTTTGATTACTTAATGCGTTAAATGTGAGTCCATAGATTCCCTAGGGCGGATGTACAATACCTTTAAGAAGCACACGCTTAAATTTTATTTAAGTTAATAGAAACTTTAATTATAATGAGTATTCTTGGGGGCTGTCAGTCTGTCTCGCTGTTAGTATTGGTGGTATTTTCCCCAGACTGATCATCTTCCAGGTCCGTGTCCTCCGATTCAGAGCACGTCGGGGTGGGCGAGCTGCCCTCGGAGCTCGGCGCTAAACTGTCTGCCGAGAGATCATCATTTTCCTCGTCGCTATTCGACTCCTGATCGTCGTTGCTGTCGCTGCCGGATTCACCCTGATCCTCGTTGTCAGAACTGGCTACGAACGACGAGCCCGAGTTATTAGGAGACTCTCTTTTATTCGGTCGACTTTTCTGTGTGAGGGAATTCTACTACATTTACAATGCCCTGATGGCGGTGGCAAACTTACCAAGGTCGTAGCTTGATTCTGGTACAATACCTGGGCATCGTTCAGCTGCTTGAGCAGGGCGTTCCTCTCCATCGAGTGATACTCGCGTTGGAGATGACACTCCGACTGAAGTTCGTGGTTTTCCGTTCGCAGGTTAAACATATCGCTCAAGATCTGGTGCTGCTTCTCAACTAAGGTGGACACCAGATGTTCCAAGTTCTCAATGGTGACCTCGTACTCGCGCAGCTTCTTCTTCAGGAGCCAATTTTCCGCTCGACAGTCGGCTAACTCGGAGGCCGACACTGCAGAACTTGCACCACTCTCCTGTGAACATTCTTCGGGTTCAGCACTGAAAACGATTCGGGTAGTAATGTCCCCATGGTAATCAATAGAATGCTCACCCTTTTGGGGAGACTGCTATTGAAGAGTCGTCGTCGTTGGTTGGCAATGGAAGCGGCGTAAGGTCTTTGGGGCTGTCCACACCTGGCGTATGAAATTCGCAAATACAGGACATTTTTTGTTTGGTTTTGGAATCATTTACTAGTTTGATTGCACAGTCAGAGGTGACCAGTTTATGGGAATCCAAAATTCCTACTTACCCTCATTTGCTCTGCTCCGCTCAACAACCACCTTGGCTGGCTGGACTGAGGCTCCTCTCTGTCGATGCGATGATACTCCTGCCAGTCGCAAAGTAGACTATTAATTTAAAACTGCCTTCGCAGATAAGGGAGTCGAGACGACCCACGTCCACGCAAGTACTCCACTTTGCAGACTGCTCCCCGTGCAGACTCCCTTCGAGGTCCTGGGCAGTGCACACTTTACGACTTGACATTTTCACACTTTGTTGGCAACGTTTTGGATGCTTCCTACACACTCCATCCTACAGACAGGGCCACTGACTTTCGGGTCGTCCTTGGTGCCGCGTCAAAGTCGACGTCGATGCAGGCAAGGATTCGGGATGTGCAAATGTGTGGCTTCAGCCAGAGAGCAGACGATTGGCGGAGTGTGGGACTGAGTACACTTTTTGTGTGCGTCGGTGGATTGAAGTGCAAAATTGGTTTAAGTGTTTGCTAAATTGGCAGCAAAATGGCTTTTTCAATTTATACTCAACGTTTATGTACGGATCCGCAGATGGTGGAGTTGCCCAAAAAGTTGTACCACAAAAACTAAACACTGCTTCCACATTATTCCCTCCCCCCGGTTTTTTTGTTTTTTTTTTTTTGCAATGAGTGGCGCCTTGCGCAGGGTAATTGATATTTGGAACTTTGACATTGGGCGGTGACCCATGAGCCTCCTTACTGCTCGCAATTATAGTGGCTTACTATAAATAAATGCGATTGCCGGCCCTAGCACACACCATACTCACCAGTTAATTCACACGATCGCTATAGACACTAAATGGTCTCCTCCGGAACTCAATTTCCTCGCACATATCATTTATAGAGAAGATAATCATGACTTACACCCAGGCTAGATACACATATACGAGGGCTCGTATTTTACGGCCTATTTGCGCCGACCCAAACAGCGAGCCACAATGAGCGCAAAGGCCCGGCTGAAGTGAAATCATAATCGTGATACCTAAACAACGCCAAATTACATACCAGAGGGCGCTACGCAGACCATGTTAACATAAATTTCTTGCGCCTCCTCAGTTTGTAGGAAAACCACCACCTCTAAGCCCAACCTCAAGTCAGACAACACATGCAAGCGCACATTTAAAAAGGCATAAGTCATACGTGGCTAATAAATTGATTTGCTAAAGTGGATTAGAGTTCATTGCTATGACATATACAGGATGCTCCGGGCCTGAAAGGTATTCTTGGCCGGTCCAGAAGGAGCACACTGGCCGCGATGGAGCCCCCTGTACGCCCGGCGAAAAGCCAACTATTTTTAACTCAAACTTTGTGAGCATTTGGGAGAAAAGTCTTCTGCCCACCGAGAGAGGAAGGAAATTACCAAATCCCCAAAACGCTGGCTGGACTCCTTGTAGCCTCAGTCGCACACACTCCGCACAGAATCGTTGGCTGCGAATAAAAAAACGCTTAAAATGCCAGTTTGAAGTCTATTATTTGCTGGACACGAGCATATATTGATTGCATCGCAGTCGCCCTGGTCAGCCCCGAGATTCAGGAAAGCAAATTGCTTCAGCAAATACTCGTACTCTTGCCCGTACTCCTGAACTCCTGCGCGCGGGCAAGGGGCCTGGAGATGGAGATGTGGCTATTGATGTCGGTGGAGTGGCAGGGGACGGTGGAAATCACATGGTAATCGGTGCTCTGCGAAACAGAAACCAGAAACATAAAAAGCAATCGAAGTCGAGTTTTGGCAAGAGGTGTTCCACACCATACAAACCCGTTTGCAGGCGCAAAGTGCAGATCCGTTGGGAGAGTTCGCCAGAGTCTTCGTTTGCTCGGTGCCTCGGCGGCTTCGTGTAGTGCAGCATTTAGCGTCTTGATCGGTTTATCACCGATTAATTAGAGTTTGATAAATACGCGCACGCCGTGAGTATATAAATCATAGCAGCAGACGCCGAGACAGTGCTGCGGAGTAACTAAAGCACCGCGAGATGAGGCATGGGTCCCGAAATACTCGTAATGGCAGAAAAAGGAAATTTGCATATCCACCCGCCCGCATGGAAAAAGTAGCAGTCAAATTGTAGAGGTAAACATGTTTTATTTTGCGCGCTTTGCCTCTTGATTTTTAGATTTTATTATTATTTTTTTTACCGCATTTAGCATTTTACTTTGTTTTGGGCTGTCGCTGGTTTTGACGTTGCCACACAAGCCCAGTATTTTGAAAGGCTCGGAGTTGCGACTTGTGGTATGAGGCAGCAGGTGGCAGCCGGCTTGGCTTGTGGCTGGTGCCAAGGGTGGTAAGGGTGGCTGTGCACACTTTGAACATTTTCTGTGAGAGAATTAATTATGAAAGAACCTCTTTTGAGATGCGCTTGACGGCCACAATGAGATGGCGACAGCGGCTCTGATGAACAGGAGTTTTATGAATGCTAATTTAAGGATATTTTTGGGTTTGAATTTTTGAATTTTGGGGTTGCTTAGGCGGGCGAAGGCTCTTTTGATCCAAGGTGCTCCTTAATGCTTGCCTGCTGCATGCATACAACAAACGAAGTATCCTATCATTAAATGTTCGAGTTTTTTAACTATAAATTAAAATGATTTGAAAATGCATAAAGTTTGGGATCTGCTTTTAATGTTCAACATTTCTTAAGCCCAAATCCATATATTCCCATAGCCGGAGAGGCGACATAGCTCGGTTTAACTGGATATAATTCTGCACTGACTGCTCATTTTAATTTGGCCTTTCACTGCCACATTTACGAGAATATGCCACGGGGAATGTCTTATGGTTTATTACCAAGAGCGCCAGAGCACTACCGCCACCCCTGCGACTGCCACTGCCACTGCCACTGCCACTACGACTGCTAAGCAGCATACAACAGAAACTAGGATGGAGGTTATTATTATTCGACGACTACTCGGCACCATGATTGCTACCTTTTGCTGCACTGCATTGCATTTGTTGGGCGACGTCTTTTATTCTTGCCCATGGCAGTGGCAAAAATGTTGACCACTTTCTGCATGGTAGAGTTTTCACTCCACTTCAGCCTCGGCCTCCACTTTCCGCTGCCCGCTCTCCGACGCCCGTTTTCCTCGCCCAGTTTTCAGTTTTTGTCGCACTGAAATTGCTCTCGAGATATCTTCGTTACGGAATGAATGACTACTTGGGGCTGGTGCTTGGCTCTTGTGCCGGACCCAAAGTATTTGCGGTTTTTTCTTCACATCCTTTTGCACAATTATCCTGATTTCAATATTACTGCGTCATAAACAAAAGCCAAGTCTGACTTCTCTCCCCCGCAAGTTGTGCAGAAGGGGGTGGAGGAGACCGAGACCAAGGATTGTACACAAAATTATTATTATTTGCTTGCTCAGGAATTTTTAGTTGTTCTTGAAGTTTCTTATCCCGGCCACTGGACACTGGCCCTGTCCAGTGTGGGTTTCTTGTGAGCCCAAGTTTGTCGCTTCCATTTAGTTTGTTTGGTCTGCTTGAAAAGGATTGAAAAGAAATAACAGGAAATTATGTGGAGAATTTATTTTTGAAGTATAAAATAGTTTAAGCTTTCTATTTATTTATTCATGCAACTGTGTTGATAAATATAATATATTCTCATGGGTATTGTTCCTCATCGCACACATTAAATGCTGCGAAATAAGCTGCTCATACTGCCATAGTCAAAAGATTGGCTTAATTTGTTGAAAGTGGCGCCCTAAAGTCACGGAAAATATCCCCGGGCAATGTCGGCCAACTTTTCTGCAGAGCCATAAATAAAATCTGTACTCCAGTCCAACAAACTCCCCCCCCCCAAAATGCCTCCTTTTCATGCTGTTTTTCTCACAAGGCACACGCGCTGACATTTATCAAAAATTCAACTGTCATTTATTGCGTTTGCGGTGCGTATTTAAATGCCTTCCGTTTTTTGCACAAAGCAATTGAACATTCATAAGCCCAGATCTCCATTACCTCTGAAACCCGCAAAAGTAAAAAAAAAAATACAAAAAAAAGTATAAGCCAATACTTGGGAAATTGGCTGTCGGAGAAATGCAACTGGGGAGGATGTAAGCGCTCCCACCACTCGTTTGCGAATTTTCCGACTGGCGAAATTTTCCAGAACAAAGCACTCAACGGAACACGTGACAGTTGTTCTTGTTTGCGCGCCTGCAAAATAAGGTTTCGCTTTCCATTTCCCATTTTCCACCTCCCACCACCCAGTTTCCCTATTTCGCGATGTGTCGATGTGCCGAACGTGTGTAGCTGTCGCAGTCAAGTGTGTAATTTGCGGTAGCTTTTAAAGAGGGTTTGAATAGATTACTTCATTTAGATTGACGCCGGCAGGTGTGGGAAACGCGAATGGGGCGCTTAATCGGATGTAAACTTCCTGCGTAAGTGTTTATTTACTAGGTAAATTATTGTTTCAATTATGACAGCAGTTTGAATTTAATTTTCTTGTTCTATGAACGATTTCATTAGGTTTTTTTTCTTCGTACAGGAAGAGTATAAGTTCCCCATTTCGATTTATTTTGCAATTAAAACGACTTTCTCGCATCCTGTGTAGATTTTTCTCCAGCGCTTGCAATATTCAAGAGGAAATTGCACAGGGCCTACCGACAGTGAATGGTGAAACCCTTTTCGTAAGAATAAAAGTTCAAGTTTATAATAAAAGTAAAAGACAGAGCAAAGGCGGATACTGGATCCTGGATTTCTGGCTTCTGGATTCACAGAATCCAGGCTCGTCCTGTGGACTCAGCCGTAATGCATTTGCATGGCACAGTTGGCATCAAATTATGAAATAAGTAAGAGAGCACTCCATGCATTAAAAACCTTTTAATTTGCTAAATCGCCTTGCCAGACATCGTCGCTGGAGCTCAGGTCGGCTGGATCCCATCGTGGATAAGCGGGCGGAAGCGGATAAGCGGAGTCTGTGCACATTTTTGGGATTCGTAGACACCTAGGAGGGCAGCCCAGCCTACGCCCCTCAGAGTCTCACAT